TTTTCTTTTTTATACATTGATAAAATTATGAATAAAAGAAGATTATTCTGTTTATTATCTGATTAATACGACGAAAATATCTCTTTACTGTTTAAGAAAACATGTTATGACTTTAACTTGAACAGAGCTCTGTGTCTCTGAAGGAGGCCTTCTGAGGCCATGGTCAAAGACAGCCCTAGGTGACCACTACACTCTTTAAAATTACACCATTTAATACAGTTCAGGATATTATTTTATGTTTGACTTTATACTTGCAATGAGTAGCTTTAATGTTATTAGCCGTATGCATACTAATCTACTAACCATCCACTTTAATTTTATAAGATCTGAAGTGTTTTAAATCGAAATGGGTTTTTGCCAGATACAAGTAGCTCTTTGTCTGATCACACTTACTTATCTTGAAGAGCAAACATGTCAGAGCTGAAGAAAAAAAGACACAAAGCATTAACGTTAGCCCTATAATTCAGGTGACAACTTTTAAAAAATAAAATTTTAAAGAACTCACCCAAAATTGCCAACAACTTGTGACAGTTCATTATAACAGTGCTATGGCTGTATCATTTGCGTATTCGTGTGTATGAGCGAGTCAGGGCGAAGTGCTGTTACACATATGTTGAAAGCAGATAATGTATCAAGAGCGAATGTTTCGCTTCATCTGTATGATGTCATACAAGAAGGCTTAAAAACAACACAAAGATTTTAATACGGAAAAGAACAACAACAACAACATTTGCTTGAGCTGTACAAGCAAATATATTTCTGCCCATTATTTAATATGCCTATTGAAAATGTCTGTATTGATGTGCATACACTTTTAGTTAACACTGGAAAAACTTATAGTTGATGTTGTGTAATCCAAGCGTAACACAATAGAGAACCAGCAATTAACAATAATATATATATATATATATATATATATATATATATATAATAAACAACACTGGACAGGTAAATTAATACTGGTGAGATTTTTGCAGAAAACCTTTACAGCTTTATTTCCTTTTTTTCTGATGATGAAGGGAAAGTCGTGGTGGTGCAGTGGTTAGTGCTGTTGCATCACATCAAGAGGGTCACAGATTCTCCTCTAGCCTGGGGCTGTTTTGTGTAGAGTATGCATATTCTTTCCGTGCAGGTGTGGGTTTTCTTCAGGCACCCCAGTTTTCTCGCACAGACCAAAAACATGCATGTTAGGTTAACTGATACAATCAGGGTCAAATGTCAAACTCATTTTCACCAAATGAGCATCATGGTTGCACTCAAAGAGCCAGCTGTAATTAACTTCAACGTTTCGTGTTCAACTTCGACTAAATACAAAACACCATATTCCTCATGCTACAGCTGAGCCCCACTAACAAACAATAGCTGAGCTCTACACGGTATTTCGTGCACAGAAACAGTGTTTTAACACATCATCTCATAATTACTACATGTACAACTGACTAAATGTGAAATAAATACTAAAGAAATATATTTAAAAGTTTAAAAAATTACTCCACGTGCTCTAAATTGTTTCTAGGTTTGAGTGTGAATGGTTGTCTCTGTGGCCATGTGATGGACACGCAACCGGTCCGCTCACACAGTGACTGCTGAGGCACCAGCTGCCCCGGGTCCCAAAAAGGAAAATGTGGGTAAAGAGGATAGATGGATGGATGGATGGATGGATGGATGACAAAGTTTTTCATTCAAAACCCAGCTGCTGAGTTTTGCCATTTGAAAGTTCTACATTAAAGCTAAAGGCAGCTGACTGACACGGGACGTCCATTAAGAAACTCAGGGGTGTTCTTCAGTGGCTGCAGAAGATGCTCCGGTCAAGTTCTTTCGACTTCTCAGCAATGTGGCGTGCTCCTTCACCAAAAAGCGCTTATCTGAGCTGCTCTGTAGGAGAAACAAGAAGTTAGGTGAAAGCTGAACACACAAAGCAGAAACTTATCAAACATTGGGCCTCATGCAAGAACCGTTCGTACGCACAGATTTGTTCTTAAATTGTGCGTACGAGTGATTTAGGAGAATTTGTGGCATTCACCAATG